CCCCCCCCCCCCCCCCCCTCCCCCATCACTTGTTTTCAGGTTTTCCAGCGACGAGAAACCGACGAAGTTCGCTTCACGCAGGTGCATACCGAAATCGCTGCCCTGGAGCGACGAGTCATCCTACAGTACGGGATCGGGTTCTTTGGCAGCGTCATCGCCATGGGATTGGCTGTCGCTCGCATCGCCGCCTTGCAATAGTGGTAGTACCGTAGGTGGTGTGGGGCGTACAGTGCGTCATGCCAGCATCGTCAGGTCGGTTTTGGTTGATCGAGGGAGAGCTGGTGTTTGATTTCGCAGCTCGAACTGTTCCGAAATCTTGATTGTTGCGGCAGAGTACAGGGAGTAGTAGTACATACACCGTCCTTTGTTGGGTGAGCTATGTATGAAGCGATTTGGTTGCCCTAGGAGGATCGTCCCTCTCTCCCGTTTTTGTCATTTTGGCCCTTTACACGTGAACCCGTCTTGTTGTTGTTGATATTTTCCCGAGTTTGTCGTTCGCTTCTAGTGTACAGAGCTCCCGGCCCTCTCGTAGGGTTTTAGGTGCTACAGTTTTGAATTCCTCCTTAAAGAAGATGATTTCTTGGCGTCGATGCCGTTGTAATTCTCTGACCGTTCCATGGCGGTGAAGGGCTTCCCTCTACACATGAAGTCTGTCAATGTCGTGGGGTTTGAAAATGTCTGTCTCGAGTGGACGCCGGTTTGCGGCCGAATTGGGTTATTTCCGGGGTTGCTCACGATAACTCGTACCACTCTCTTTTGCAGATATTTGGCCCCAACTTTAATCGTCTCTCGAAAAGGCAGCAGACGGGCACAGGTGTGCTTGCCGGTAAAGATCCTTGTCCTCAGCGCTGCGGATAGAGTTTGTGAAATTGTTAACGCATACAAAGGTCGCCGGAAAAGTTGCAAGATGAGCCGCCATGGGGTGGGGTGGCTCTACGCTCCCCCCTCCGAAAGGAACATTTCAAGCAGGGCTTACCCTACCACGGCCTTGGAGCAGGACCTTCACCTGGTGTTGTGGTATTCGTTCTTTTTGAGGGGGGCCCGTGGAATCGCCGTCAACTACTACAAACTGGGAGGTACACGAGCAAGCGGCTAGGAGGTCCAGTTCGGTTTTCTGCTCCAGCTGAGAGGGCGGCATAAGCGAGGACTCTCCCGTGCACAGTCTAGGTGGGTTTCATCTAGTCTCTGCTTTACGCTGAGGAGCGCTCACAGAGTATTGATAACATTGCGCGACGGCTTTACTTGGGGTGGGTGGTGGTAGACACGTACGGGAAAGACGATCCCACATGCTGAGGAACACCGATGTTACGTTCGGAAAAGTCAACAAGCCTTGCGAGGGATTGATTGACACTTCTGGCGCGTGCATGCATGTGTTGCAGCAGCGGGAAGTAGTACGAGCGTGGTTGTACCACCATCCTTCTTTCCGGCTGTGTTGACCGACTACATAGTCTCCACTTTTCATTTGAATTTTCAAACGTTTCGTCGCGGTACACAGTATGGCAGCAGCAGTACCGGCCGAACTCGCTTGAATTGGTCCACTTGTGCGTTGCCCTGGCGTTCTGTTGTGTGGATGAGGAAGAGGCGCACATATTTCGGTTGTTGGTTCCCGTGGTTTTTGCTGCAAATTGGTCACTCAAGGATTTTTGGCCAATCGGAAATGAGTCGCACCGGTGTTTGCTGACCGATGGTTTACTCGCAAACGTCTAATGGGCGGATACATTTTCGGTGGTATTGCCGGGGTTGTAAATTTATGTATTTTTTTAACGAATTTGGCGGAGGCAGTATAACAAAAAACGGCGGCGTGCCGACGGTATACCGGTACCACTGTTCACTATGGCCGCATTGTCACGGCGGTAGAGTTGCCGCGCAAGCCTTTGGAGCTTTTTGTCCGAGGAATTGAGGAATGTGGCTTCGCAACAGTTTTCACAACACAGGATGCTGTTGTCAAGAGGCTCGTTTGTCTCCTACAGGTAACATCGCCAGTACCGACGACAAAGAGATTCAACGAAGGTTTCGTACAAATGAGCGAGCCTACGCTCTCATCTCTCCCTCGAAGGGATGGCACCAAAAAGCGAATCAATCCTCACCACTTTTCAAGCGGAACATCAAATGCTATGATCACACGTGCTGGTTGTCCTGTAGGTCATTCCGGTAACCGCGATCGCCGGGTTCTACCTCCGAAGGATCCACTTCCAGACTCTGAAGCCTTTCCTCTCTCTCTGATCAACGTGCCTTCGACCTGGGGTAATGGCCGACAGAAGTTCTCTCCGCACAACGCCCCCACCTATAGCAATGTTGGGCGGAGTGTACCATAGGTGACATGACGGAAGATACCACACCCCGTGGGCCGATTTTCGAGCTCGACTACTCCACAACGAGGAGGATGCCAACATCGAATTGTACGTTTTCGGAAAGCTCTCGACGCGAAGGTCCCAACATCATGTTCAGCACAGTCAGCCTTTGCGCTGCAGAGCGTAATCGGCGATCTTTCATAAAAAATAGGTCCGGGGTGTGTGATATCTTGTGCAACATACGGTATGCATACCGCGGCCGACCTTCTCGCTGACGCACGCGATCTACCTGGTCCCGTTCATGATGTTCCCGCCTTAGCAACCCCCCTTCCCTACCGCTATTCCCAAACCGCGGCGTAACGGATCACACTTTGGAATGAGCGAGATGCCCCCTTGTTCGGGGGGAGATACCTCAAGTACCCGAGGATAGCGTGGTTTACGGAAGAGCGTAAGGAACGAGCCCGGGAAAATACTACATTCCTGCCCCATGCAGGCGCATCTCAACGTTACCACCAAAACCCAACCCACTATGGAAATTCATGCCTGACAAAGCTTTGCATGGCCATGCCGTGAGGAAGACAAGCATGCGTATGTACATGTAGTACCGTGAAACCTGAACCCTGCCGGAGCTATCCTTTCCTGAAAATGCCGTCGCATGGATTCGGAATCTTGCGCCAAGAAGGGTTCATTCAACCGAAAACAACCCAAACAAATCAACAAACCTTCCAATAAGATCTGCAAACATAGCCCTTCGCCGCCCGCCAACTCCTGGGACGCGAATGTGCCAAGGGGTCCTGCCTCAACACAAAGCTGATGATGGTTCAGCTGCCCTGTCAACAACATCCACAGCAAACACAGGGACTAGATCGTGCTGATGTCATACTGAACTCGCTCTTGGACAGGGCATGGCCACGAACATCATCAACAACAATCATGCTGATGATGCCTTGCTGGAGTCGCTCGTGGACAGGGCATGGTCACGGACATCATCAACAGCAATCATGCTGATGATGCCTTGCTGGAGTCGCCCTTGGACAGGGCAAGGCCACGGACATCAACAAAAATCATGCTGATGATGCCTTGCTGAACTCGCTCTTGGACACCTCCACCTGGTCCCCGTGCAGCTCGTACACGTACGTGACGCACTTGGCGCCCTGCACCGCGAGCAGGATGAAGCTCGGCACCGCGTCCGACTCCACGGCGGAGTACGCCCCCGTGATAGACCCCGGGTTGATGAACCACCGGCCACCGAACTCGTTGACCTGATTCCGGTGCGTGTGTCCCGAGATGAGGATGTCGGCGCCCAGCTGGCGCTGCGTCATGGCAAGCGCGTTAGGGTCCCCCCAGGGCACGATCTGGTGCCCGTGGGTGAGGCCTACCCGGAACTGGCCAATCTGGACGACTTTCGTCTCCGGGAAGGTGGTGGACTCTTCGAAGTCTCCCCGCACGACGTGCACGTTAGGCGCTAATCTGTGGAGGGGAGGGGAGGGAGGGCGCTCATGTCAAACTGCTTGCCGTAGCGCATCATTTGACCTGTACCGACACAGAGGGTCAGGGTTCTTACCTCTGCGAGAGACAAACCACCCAAAAAATGGACAGTGTTCACAAACGAATCTTGCTAATGCTGGTTCAAGAGACCCATGCTGTTGCTGCAGCAGCACGTGGCTGGCTGGCGGGGTCAAAGTAACGGGGAGGGCTCCAAATCTTGCTTCATGCGTTCTTCACGCTATATTTCAACCACGGTGTGACCTCTCTCAAAGCGCCTCTTCTTCATCGTCCCAGGAATCGCGCTCGCCTTCTACTTCATCCAAGGATGTCCCAGTTGAGGGGGTCCGCACAGCAATCGACGGGTCGTGGCTCCGCAAAAAAAATCTCCGGACGGTTCCGTAAACCTCTTGGAGGAAAGTCATGCCGCTGCCGGCTTGGAACTACCACACGCTCAGCAGCAGCGTACTTTGTTCGTTCTCGAGGAGGATGCAATCAAGGAATGCTCACGTTCGCAAGTCGTTGTACTGGTCCTTCCCTACCAGGTTCCCCGTGCATAGGACGTGCTGCATCTTATTGGGCACGAGCATCTTCTTGAACTTCTCCGGGATAGCGGCCTCTCGGTGTGGGATGTGCATGTCTCCCAGTACCAGCACCAGTTCCCCGAAATCACCCGCCATTTTCCCCCGAACGACGAACCACCTTGAAAGAGACGAGCCGGATGCCGCAAAGCAGGGTAAAGTATTAGCCGGAACAAGCCCTGGCGACATGTACAGTTAACGCCCGCACTTAAGAACCTCTACATAGTTTTCGTCGAGGGTGGGGATGTTAGTTCCTCCTACATTACAAATGTTGCGCTACAAAATGGGAGATATATAGGTATGTTTAGTGTTCTAGTGTACTTGGTAGGTGAGAAATTCAGCTGAGAACTTGAGCACCATCTTTTTAGCCCTTCACACCAGTTAACAACTGCTGCATAACGGCAAACTGTACAACAAGCTGCGGCATCGTGTATAATTAGCATGCTGCAGGAGTAATTAGCATGCTGCAGGAGTACAGCAGTACCACGTCTTGTACCGTTCGTTGCAGTCCGTAGAACGTGGACCGGGTGCACTCAGAGAGACAAAGAGGGCCGGGGGTTTCAACAGGGGTCACCCGGCGGGAGGCTGCGTTGGGCTTTCAAGACCGACACCAAGTGTTCACCGCAAATATGTTTGATTAGCTCGTGGGTGCTGCCCAGCAGCTGCAGATATAGTGTAAGTCCAATGGCAGGGACAACGCATCCCAACGTGCAGGTTCACTGCACTAAAGCTGTGCTTTGTATGCATCTTCGCGCATCGGAGGAGTAGGTGCTATGGTCAGAATACTGCTGCCACACAGCATGACACGCCGGGAGAACAACTCCTCATCCACAGACAGCACTGCACGACTGCACGCCGCTCATCGCCGGAGCACGCGAGCGCGGCTGTGTGCATGTTGTCTTTACACCTTGACTCTCTCCCCTCTTATGAGCACGCGTGACCACGCGGAGCAATTCCACACCTGTAATCATGCCGCATCCTACTAGTCTATGCTCTTCGTCTCCTCATAGCAATAAACGGCTATTGCTAGCACCTTATCGTTAATCCGAGGATGCTAGGGTAGCACAGCATACAACACGATACACCTGACTTGTTCGGGTGACTCCTGCTGGTGGTTGGCGCAGTGTAGCTAGCTTGGCTGCGAGCAGCATTGTCACCTGTGAAGCTCTCCAGGCACTACCGTTCTCTCCACTGAAGCTAGCACCAGTGGGGTAGCGAATACGGCGTGCCCCCAGCCCAGTGCGAGAAGACTATCACAGTTCTGGGGTTGCTAGGTAACAGGAAGAGCAGATGTGATGAAGTGCAGAGTTAGTTGTGACAGGCTGTGTAGCCCAGTCCAGCTCAGCAGTGTCGGGGAGGCTTGCTTCATCCCGCGGCGCCCCCTGATCGCGACATTCCTTGTGCACACATGTGCAAGCACATGCTCCCATCACTCTGCAATCATCACCAGCGCGCAGCACACAACACAGTCGGGACAAACTCGCCCAGGGAAGTCTTGATCGAATCCGAGGGAGGGAGTCTCTGAACGACTGGGACGGATCAAATTGTCCCAGGAGGCAATATCAGACGGTGAGTGAGGAACCTCCTCGAGTACCGCACGCCTGTCTGCCGAGAGGGAAACGTAGTATAGATAAAGGGTGCCCGAGAAACGTTTTCCCGCTCACCTACGTACGCACCCACCCCCCGGGAGGACCAAAAATAAGAAAAAAAATACGCCTTTGCCACTTTTTTGGTTCTGATTCATGGCACATGTGCGTCGTGGAGTACGAAAACCTATCTATTTGACCTGTACCATGTAGCAGATGAAACATCGGCACTACCGTATCCAACACAAGATAACACACCTCCTGGACCAATTTTCAAAGCTTGATTATGCGACAACGAAGAGGATGCATAAATGAAACAATACATTTTCGCAAAGCCCTAGACGAGACAGCTTCAACTCCACCGTTTTCCGCGCTGTAACTCTTTCTGCTGTCGAGAAATCGAGATTTGAAAATCGGTCCAGGGGGTGTGTTATCTTGTGTCATTTACGGTACATACAACAGTACTGGGCCTTCTATAGTGCGGGGTTGCGTCCTGAAATTTTACCGGCACTATACCGGGCACCGGCACTATTCAGCATAGTGCCTCAAAGCACCGGTCCGGTCCGACACTATTATTGAGCTTTGGAGGTGTTTCGTTTCATGGTGTGGCGCTCACGCTTTGCGGGGCCAACAGAATACCAAATGGATCGAAATAATTGTGTATTTATAGTGGACGAAGCTAAATCTCAGTCCTCTTTGCCCTCCGTCGATGTTTCAAGATAAACAGTAGACAAACGAAAAAGAAACACAAAAAGAAGCGAACTGCCAAAAAACAAACAACCATGTACCGCCTACCCTCAATACATACATACTTTTCTCGAACGGTCGGTGCGATACCTGTCCTTTTCTTTCGATCATTTTGTTTTCTTTTTCCGAGTGGTTTGTACCCTTTTTTTTTTTTTTCTCGCGGCGTCGTATGTGCCGGGTTTTGAGACCACGGGCTCCCCATTTTTTGTGGACTATAGAGCTAATGTGAGAAACAACAACAACAACAACAACATGCGTCTCAACAAAGCTCTCCTTCTGTCTGCCTGGCGAACCCGCTTCGATGTTGCAAGAAAACATCAACAAAAATAAGCCAAGAAAAGCACAACAACAGACAGGAATCGCACCGCACGAAAACAAACATGTACCGCCTACTACCCTCACTCCGTCACGACAAACTCTCTCAATGTCTGCCTAGCCACGTGCTTCGATGTTGCAAGAAAAAGAAAACACAAGAAAAGCACGCAGGAAGCGTACCGCACGAAAAACAACGACATGCACCACCCGACCTCACTACGTCTCGACAAACTCTCTCATGTCTGCGTGGTGCACCCGCTTACTTACTTAGCGGGATGCGCTGCGATCATCGCCATCTTCGCACAGTTCATCTTCCGCACAAGGCATGGTGCGCCTCTGCGAAGAGCTGTTCGGGTCTGCAGCAGCACGTGGTGAACCCCGTCTTCTGTGTGGCGTCTATCCTCCGGCTGTGTTGTTTGTGTTTTTTGTTGTTAGCATCGACCGCGCCAACCGGCTGACCAATGAAAAGGCGTCAGTCTCAGTGCGGTCGAAAACACAAAAAAACACTTCAAAATGTCATTATAACGGGGAACCCGTGAGGGGGCGGCATGGGGGAGGCTAAGCTATCTCCAGAATACAGACAGCAGCGATAGCAACAGAAAAACTGCACACGTCTACGAAGGCTGCTACCTTGCACTCCGAGTTAGTTTTGGAGTGCTTTCACTATCATCATCCTCCTTGTGCTTTCAACTCCTCGTTCTTGTGTGTGTACACCGGCGCTGTGGTGCCAAATCGGCACTATATCGGGGCTGCCCTCAATAGTGCCGGCCGGCACTATCGAGGGCGCTGTCTGTGTCCAGAGATTCTACCGGACTATACCGGGCACCGGCACTATTCAATCGGCACTATGGAGGGCCCAGTATTGTATAGGCCTACGGTCCCCCCTGAGGGCGCACCATTCATACTCTCCCTGGTACGCAACACAGCGCACAGGCTCGCCAGGGCGCACCACACTCGTAGCGCACAGGCGAGGGGGCACGCCAATGCCCACGGACCCCCCTACGTCACACGGTGCCCCTTCATATAGGAATTAGTACGGCATTGGTTTACACAGGATTTAGTATGGCGTTTAGGGGGGGGGTGGTCACTTCGTACCATCCTCCCGCCCCAAAACTTCCCAAATAAGAAAATGGGCACGTAGGTGTCGAAGAATTTTTTTCTGGGGACCCCTGTCTAGACGCGTATCAGACATTTCTCCTGTTTTCCCCACGCAGCACGTCTCTTACTTGTGTAGCCAAGACCCATGGGCATTCTCGCTCTAGAACGAACGTCCGGTGTTGAAGAAAGTAGTGCTTGATATGGCACAAAAAAAAAACGCCTGCGGACGAGAACCAGTGGTGATCATATCTCTGCCTTATTTGCGACGTCGTTCTGTGCTTTTTTTCCACAAGAACATGGGCCTGACCCAAACGCCGTTCATAGACTGCTGTATCTCCACTTTTGTCCAGCTCCCCCCCCCCCC